CGTGTAAATAATTAAATAATGATTTGACAAATCCAATCACGCGGGAAAAAAAATGAAATCAAACCTAAATATTAATTCTTGAATTAAGATTTTTACGTCGATTTTATTCAAAATAACTATTTTAATAAAAAGAAAAGTGACAGCTTATGGTGCAACGAAATCAAGAAAATACAAGAAGGAATAGTTTATAGTAGTTTTCATTACTAAAACGGAACGTACCGCGAAGGCCGTTAAAAAAAATGTTTTCGTAACGGTGAAGATCACCAAGAAGAGGCGCCTGACTACTGTGTCGTGTGAAACGGAAGAGATGGTGGTGAACCTGGCAACAAGGCGTTTGCGGTCGCTCCTATAATACAGTTTAATTGAATGTTTATGAATACGCGCGTTTGACGATGTTGATGGCGGCGTAGACGTAAGAATCACTGCAGAAAATGTGCGCGTGCGTTTACGTGTATTGCTATGCACGTATTGCGGAAAGCTGGCGAGGGATGCCAGAAGTGCCGCGGATTCGTGTACGAGCGAATATCTCGGGAATGCGGAGGAGCTTAATTAAAACTCCTGTGCAAACGCGCGCGCACCAAGCCGACAACAAAAACCGTGGACGCGGGCTAGGTAGTTTTAATGGGTTTAACGGTTCGATAATCTTGGCCGAACGGCTTTCGAAAAGTTTTCCGCACACACGCGCTCATCACACCCCCACCCCTTTATGGTTCATATCCCGTCGTTTTTTTTCATTTACTCTTCGCGCGCACATCATTGCTGTATCGTTTTGCATATCAATCGCCGTACGGTTATTTTACGGTTTTCGCGTGCAACGATCGTTTCGTACGCCTCTATCGGCTGACGTATCTTGAACGTACGTTAATACGAGCGAAGATCGCATTCGCGTCCTCTCAGCTTATTCTTGACGATTTTTCGTCGCGACCGAGAGTAATTTATGTCGCATCATTCGGTCGTACTGGGCATTTTGACTTGTGAACGGCGTAAACGAACTTACTGCGGCAATACAAATGCCCGCAAACGGCGTCTCCTCTTAATCCTTATTTCGAGGATTGTAAATACGGGGGATTTTTAACAACACGTTCGATCAGAACTCCGTCTTCGATTTTGCTAAATTTGGTCATCGGAGCATTCATTTTTGAAAGACACGATCAACGACGACCAGCGTCAGTTGAAAAACGAGTGTTCAAGACTGCAATAACTCAAAAAACTATTATTCAGATATCGACATCTCAGTTCAAGACAGCAATACCTCAAAAATATTCAAAATTGAGTTATCTACGTGATATTATTTGCAAAATTACGATGATTTTGATTCTATAACGCAATAACTTTTAGTTACATTATTTACCTCTAAAGGTCGTTTATAACATTCTAGAACCAGTAGTTTCATAATTTGAGTTATTGCAGTCATGAACTGAGGCGTCGATATCATAATATTCTTTTTAAACGACAAATTAATTGCGATGCGAACGCGATTTTACTGCCCTTTCGCAAAATTAGATCGTCAACCACGAGGAAAACCAACTATATTTGATTTACATTACATCCGTAGTCGCGCGATAATGATGCGCGATCGTAGATCTCGGTTAGCGTTCACGATCGTGCTAGGTAAAACCTAACTTTCGGTTTTAGTCCGACACCCCGTGCCCTGACGCACGACACCCAACCATGTCTGCCGTCAAATAACAATCGAAATTGATTTTCCGACGTGATTCCCAATCATAACGACAACGCCGCAGCCGGTGGTAGTGACGTCGCATCGGGTTAAGAGTACTTTTGTTTTATAATACTTAATTTTTAAAATTCCGTTAAAGGTTTGTTCCTATATTTAAGTTTAATGCGTACACAGTAAAACAGGGACAATTTTCAGAAACATGATTTTCAAACATTTCATATCCCTCTCTACCAAATGTCATGCAGGTTGGTATAAAAGTAACTGCTGCGCGGCTCCGATGACTGAACGTCATACGATCGGAAAGTTCGTTTTCTCCAAAATGAAGAAAATATAAAAACTATTATTGATATCGTCTGTATGAGTGGTTCATCGAGAATAAAATACGAGAACACTCACGTGCTTATAAATACAATATATATTTGTATACATATATCAAAGAACTAAAATCGTGATATCGTTTTACCTTGTTATTGGCGCTTTTTAAAGTTTTAGAAATAAAATAGTTTTTTGACATTGTTATAAAAATCGTGTAGGGGTAACAGCAGATTTAGATTTGAAACGCAACAAAAAAGATTTATGTCGCTGTATTTGATGTTTTCAATTCGAATAAACATCAAGTGAACGATTTTGTATGGTAAAACAATATGTGTTTATTTTTTAAGAAAGCCTTTGTAATCCGATGGAAAAATCTTCTGAGTTTTATAAAAACAATATTCCCCTATAATATCCTATGACATTTAGTGTGTAAAGTTGTTTGAACCCTAAAGTTTCCAATGTCGGAAATAACGGTAATACGTATATATGTACGTCATACGTTGACTGCAGTTTACGTATGACAAATAGCGCACTTTTCTGATGTTTTTTTTTTCTAAATCATGATCTTATTATTTCTAGTATTGCTCTAATTATTTTATCACTAATTATTTTTAAATTATTTTGATTAATTTTTTTTTCGTTGGATATAATTTGGGTTTCCCAATCATTTTATTCGTATAAAGAAATGTTTTATGTAATATTTGAAAAAAATTACTTTGAAAATCGAACTACAAGTGTATTGATGCACCGCCGTAGTAAAGTTTAAACAAATATTCAGTTAGAACCATTTCATTTAAGAATATTGAAGGTGCAATCGATTAATATAGTTTAAGTTTAGTAGTACCTACTTTTTAGACTTTTTTATTATTCTATGCCTTAATTAATAAACAGTAAATAAACAGTTCTTTTTTGTATATTTTGCATACGTAATGACTACTATTTATTTTTACTATTAATAATAATTTATTTATTGTGACTGATTTTTTTCCTACGCAATAATTATTTTTACATTTCATAATTTATAGGTAATTAATATATGATCTATATCATAACATTTATAGTCAATGAATCCTTTGGTAAAAAAATGTATGGTAATAATATGGCGTTCACCGTATTATAATATTAAAGCTGAGCACTAAATAATTAAAAAGTTACTTTTTAAGTAACTTTCTAACTTAACTAGTTTTCTTAATACATAATAACTTTCAAATTTAACGAGTTAAATTGACGTGTAAAATAATTCTAATCTATTTTGTTTCCGAAATTGCAAAAACTGTTACATAATCATGTCTATGTAGATAATAGGCCCATGGATATTTATTAGTATTTATAATAATGCATGCACGGTAACTACGAATTTTCCACGTATCATATATAGGTTATATAGATAGTATCCGAATTAAACCAAATTTAAACATGATGCCGACTTTCTGATGACAACTTTGAAATTTAATTTCTGTTAAAATTAAACAAATATTTTGAATAAAATATATTAAAATATTGACAGCATTGAATATTATTATATTTTATTCAATATTTATGTTGTCATTCTGTTAAATATTTTTTTATTTATTTAAGTACACAATTGGATAATTTGATCAAATTACTAGACTTTTAATTACATTTTTCGACCGTCTTGAATAATTTAAGATAGATAATTTATTATTTACATTAGAACAAAAGACTTTAAATTTTATTTTGATCTATAAAAACAATAACTTCTAACTTTTTCTCTAACTTCACTACCATTTTCAACAAACTAGCTTCTAATTTAGAAATCAAGACAATTTCAGAAACTGAGTTACATTCTAATGTAGTCAGTTTTAAAATTAAAACCAATTAACTTGAACTAGTTGAATAAAATGACCAACTTGCCCAGTTTTGATTATAATTCGAACGACGAATGAAACGTACAGAATGTAGTTTTTGGTAATTCGGTTGCGTAACACGAGTAATCGATTTCAGACAAAATCCAAATCTGATGATCTGTTAAAAACGTGATTCATTTTCGTTCGTACACAAAAAACCGAAACCCGTTTGAATTCTGGATGCTCATACAGTGACGTAAATAAATAAAACTACAGGGTAAAGAATATAACGAGGAGATAACGTGTGCGCGAAATAACATTATCGTTTTGTTTGACAATCGCGAGTATTGATATGTTACATCATCGTGATCAGTCCCTGCGAGAAGGCGAACGAAACCCAATTGATTTTCGCGTCAGCAAATACGATTTTCCATGCAAGCGGCTCGGAAACACGGAGTCTTAACAGGGCTCTCTGTTTGGGGTGAAAATCGGATCCGTTCCGGTTACGAATAGAAACACGAGAAGGCGAGCGTGTGTACAACCGTACAACGTACGACGGATGCTCGTAGTGGGCGACGGATATGCGTACGCGCGTGAAGGACGCGGTAAAATCCGATTTGTCTAAGCAGACGTGCAATGACGGGTCTTCGGGACGAGTGGATTTTTCTTTTAAAAAATCCGACACATCAAAAGGAAAAATACCGTTGCCGTTCTCACCCCGGCGCTCACACCGTGCCGATTTTGTGAATCGGAAAAAAATTGTTAGCGCACGGAATGTTCCGCGCCCGGGCTCGCGGACCTTTGATGTTTCCGCCCGGTACCTCCTCAAATCTTGCGCGACACGTAGTGCCGGTCCAATGCGATTCGAGTGCCACCGAGCCAAGCCGGTCGCCCTTTTGCGTTTTCGTGCTGCGTCCATCGCCGCGTTTGTGTCTACGCGCGAACGAATCATTTTATTTCCTATTCCGCTCTTGCGTGTCTTCTCTGTTGATAAAATCTCACGCGAACCCGTCTCTGTGTCACCCTTCAAGGACCACTACGGGGCATCGGCGGCCACATGGTGTGCATCCCTCCACGTCGCGATTGTTCGTTGCTTATTGCTGTGTCCATGCCGTGACCACGAGACAAATGTTCTCGCATGCACACGTGCGACACAACGTTTAAACGGACCGCGAGTGCATTATTCAAACGTTTTTCAGTGACCACGTACCAGGGCGAAGTGCTGCGATTGACCAAAGTCAGCAGGTCCGAGATGGGAGCTTACTTGTGCATCGGATCCAACGGGGTTCCGCCGTCCGTCAGCAAACGAATCACGGTCAGCGTTCACTGTAAGTACATCTTAAGTCAATTTTATTTTTTACGAATACCTAGTGCCTACAGTCATCATAGATATTGTGTTGAATAAGCTATGTCAATACGTATGGTTTCATGCAGAGTTGGGCGTTATTCGAATAAAATTTTATTTAGATGATTATTTAGATAACATTTTATTCGAATAAATTATATTCGAATGATTTTTTCACAATTATTCGAATAAATTATTATTCGACTAATTTTCAAACTCAATTATTCGAATAAATTATTATTCGAATGATTTTCAAACACAATTATCCGAATAAAAAATTATTTGAATAATTTTTGGAAAAATTTAAAAATATTGTATAATAAAAAACAAATATTGATTTATATAAGAAAGTAAAGAAATATATATATATATAATAATATTTGAATATGTGTAGAGCTCTATATATTTGAACTTATAAATATGAAATACAACATTGAACATACGTAGTTAGTACATAGTACGAAAATATTTGAGACTATATAATATAGTACAGAAACTGGACTAAACTAGATATAATAATAACATCTTCAACATTGATAATTAATTACTATAAAGGTAAATACTAAATACATGAACAAACTAGAAGAATTATAATCATTATTTCATAATACATATTTAGTAATTAGTACTAACTACTACTATAAATACTAAGATAGGATAACTATGTTTAAAAATTATTCAAATAATATTATGATCACAAATTATTCCAATAATATTGTTTCTAAATTAGTCGAATAATTTTTTATTCGAATAATTGTATTTGAAAATCAGTCGAATACATTTTTATTCGAATAATTGTATTTGAAAATTAGTCGAATAAATTTTTATTCGATGAATTGTAAAAAAATCAATCGAATAATTTTTTATTCGAATACATATTTATTCGAATAATTATCTAGATAAAATTTTGCCCAACTCTGGTTTCATGATAGTTATTCGATTGGTATTTCCAAATGATCTATTCATCATTCGAATATAGTATGATTAATATCTAAATTTTTAGTCGATATTATATTAAAATACAAATTAAGATTTTTAATATTTTGTATTATTATAAATGGATATATGTCCAACTAAAAAATATCTTTCATAATGATAAAATTTTACATCGATTGTTTATAAACTATAATTAGTTTTCATGGTTTAATTTGTATTATAAGTTAATGTTTTAGTGAACATTTTTAATAAGTCATACAAATTTAAAATACTTATATTTCATCGATGTTTTCTATTTAAAAACATAAATATAAAAAACTTACCTTTATTTGTAGAGTATTTTATACTTCATTTGTAACAAATTTGTATTTTATAATAAAATAAAATAATATTATGCGACGGTAAAAAAAAAAAATAAGATAAGTGATATATATTGCCCTATAGTTGTTTTTTATAAATCAGCTTTGAAAATATTTACTCAATTCTAGCTTGAAAAATTTCTTTTTTTTAAACTCGAAAACATTTAACATTTAACAAACCAACGTTTTTTATGTATATTTGTATATAATATTTCAATGAAATTCATAGGATAATACTATATTAATAATTACCGTTTATAAGTATTAAATCCATAATTATTTGTTAAAATAACAATTGAAGTGAATTTAAACTTTTATCTGAATAATGTAAATTTTCTGATTTTATAATATAATAATAATTAAAATAATTATTCAGTAAATTATATATATATATATATATATATATTAGTATTACAATAAATTACAATAAATAATCAATACATTTTAATATAATATAATTGGCAAATCGAATTCAATAGGTAAGTTAAAATTAATTTTATGCAAATAAAATTATGATAAACGACCATCAATTTAGTCGCTATTTGAAATATAGTTAATTACCAACACAACGGAAATATTCTTAATTCATTTAATTTCGTCTAAACAAATAATTAAAGACAATTACTAATTTTCTGTGGCACAGACGGAATATAATACTACATAGTTAATTAAAATGTTACCTAACTGTTATACAACATATATAACATGTGATTGCAGTATGTGTATAATTTTTTTTTTCATGAATAATGCCTAATTCCTTAATGTGTTATGCAATATCAATACGACGATACACAGTTATTGTTAATTGATTAACGAACTTGAATTGTTTTGTTCGTTTTAATGGATTTTTGTGGCGCTCACTCTCTCTCTCACTCTCTCTCTCGCTCTCTTTCTCTCTCTCTCTCTATCTATCTGTCTTTCTTAATCTTAGGATACTTTCTCAGAAGTCGTTTATTCTGAAGTGCATTTTGTATTTGGATCGTAACAGTCGTACACGCAACACTATAAATGCATAGTCTTGCCACAAAGGATATATGTAATTCGAAAATAGAGAGAGTAAGAGAGAGTGAGCGAGAGAGAGAATTGAGAGTTAGATTAAGAGGGAGAGATAGTGAGATGAAAAGAAAAACGAAACATTATATTTCAGTACATCTGTTTGGAATACGAGTTCATGTATACGTTCTCCAATGCACTTCCCGTCTAGTCCTGCGGGCGACGCGGGGACATTGAATTAATGACGTGGACCGGCTACCACTATATAACACCCATCGAGGCCCGCGTGTGTATAGGAACCGACCACACCCTCCTGGCAGTCGTAAGAATAAGAAGTAAGATGGCGTATGGTACAATTAGAAAGTTTATACGAGACCTCGTTAAGTAGACCCGTACCGTCGCATTGTTTAAAGTAGATCAAAATTAAAACGAATTCCCGTGAAAAGGCATTTATTTCATAGTCATAGACGACTTACAAGAAACTAGTAGTACAAACAAATTTCGATTTTCTTATACTTTTCACCCTAATTTGTTTCATTCTCTCTCTCTCTCTCTCTCTCTCTCTGCATTAATTTTATCCATTAATTTTTTTTCGTTACGGGTAATATCACATCATTTTGTAGTTCGGATTCCGTAATTTAAATCGTCAACAGCTCATGCTAAATATTTTTATCTGCATTATTATACTAGTAATAATTATTGTTCATAATATTTAAAATGTTCGACCGGTAACGTCAGCTCATAATCAACCCGCAACTATAAAGATCTCCTTACGGAATTTATCTCTACTTTAATTGACATTATCACGTGATATTTACAGAAACTTACAATTACCACACATAAATTAGCTGTGGACTATATTATTTAACAGAACTTGGTTCAAACGTAACGTACATACGATTGTGCAGTTATTTTATACCAAAGTTGGTGCGGTATTTACATTAAACTGTTTTTAATTTCAATCATCTGATTACATAATTACTCTTATTCTATAATAGGCATAACAATAATTCATCTTAATATTTCACATACGATGACAATGGAATCGTACTTTTTTATTTTTAATCAGTATCACAAGAAGTCAATAATAGTAGTCAACACTATGTTCAACTTGAAGAAATACATTTGAGATTCGTAAATCATTTGGACAGAAATGTATAAATACTTATTTCTTACAGAATATTAAAAATACACAACTAAATATTAAGAAAACTTCGTGTATATAAATATATATTTTAAAAAATAGAATAATTTTTCAGCGTGTTTCACGAAAAAGTTTTCTCGGGTTTCTGCGAATTTATTATCACAAAATGTACTGCAATTAATGAAATTACCAAAAAACTGACGTTTGCTTACCCTTGAACTTTTGACTGGTCGGCAGGTTGCTGTTCTATGCGTATTGTGCTTAACACTAGATAATTATTTTCTCCTGTCTACAGATACCAGTGCAAAAATATTTATTTTTTTTTTGGTTTACATTATAACAAAACAGTTGATAAGATCTAGAGGAACTTAATTTTTCAAATTTTATGTTTAAATATAATAACAACAAAATAATTTGCTTAAGACTTTTATAGTCTGTGCGCTATTTTCAGTCATTGTTTTTCTCGTTCTTATTTCCCCGTTGTTGTTGTTGCTGTTGTTTTATTATGCATGTACAATAATTAAATAAATGTACAATTTACTACGACTATTTAATTGAGGGAAATCCGACGATAAATAACATTAATATTTATCTAATCTATTCGTTGTTAATAACTTGGTTATATAAATGTCGTACAAGACACGTTACTCCACTACCATTATACAGTGGCGTAGTTAGACACTTTTTTTCTGGGTAGGCCCAATATTTTGATGTAAGGATTACCAATGAATATTTTTTATAAAATTAAAAAATATCAGAATACCGTATGTTATATATTTATTATAAGCATATTACATGGATTTATTTTATGTTTTAAAACTAATAGTATAAAATTAAATTAATAAAAAGATAAAGCTTTATTAAAATATTTTTAAATTGAAAATTCCAATTTTCTCTTTTTCATCGATGCAAACTTGTCAATTACCGCAGATGGATTTTCTATGAATTTTCCACTTTTTTCTCTCTCAATAGACAGCAAAATTAAATTAATTAGTCTGCTACTTGTCATCGTTGACCTAAGATATGTTTTTACTCTTTTTATCGTCGAGAAACTCCTTTCTGCTGAGGCACTAGATACTGGAACTACCAAAACATTTTCAATAATTTTTGTTAATTCTTAAAATTCAACTTTGTATTTTTTTACTTCTTGATATAATTCAAAAAGATCAGATACAGATAAAAATAAGGTTTTTCCCAGTTGACACTGGCATTTTAATTTGGTAATAAATTCATTTGATTGATAAAATGGAAATGTTTCAGCATAACGACAAATTATTTTACTGTCTAAAAATGTTGAAGAAGTATGATCTAATACTTCTAAAGTTGTATACATATCATAATTTGTATTAAAACGTCGGTTCATTCCGAAATATATTACGTCTAAGATATTAAAAAATATTATTTTTTGTTCTGTTTTCGTGTCATCAGATAAATAAGCCATTCTTTTACCAGTAGTAATAGTTACCTAATAATCGGCTAAAGTACTTGAATATTGTCGTGTTCTATTTGATGATGACAAATTATCCCTTGATGACGTAGGTATTTTAGAAT